AGTCTGGCTTTAATTGTATTGTTATCTAGGGTTTACAGTCTCATTTATGTAGACAATCAACTTACTATCGCTTTTTTCTCTACAGAATGCTAAATCTCTGAAGATGTCTTCTAATAATGACCAGGTTGTTATCCCAATGCTACGAAGACACACCAATGGCCTCCCTGAGATGATCTCTGCTGACGGGGAGACAATTACCCAAGGAGCTGTGCTGAGTTTTCATAACATCTGCTATAGAGGACAAGAGAAGAGAGGCTCTCTGCTCCGAGGAAGAACAGTTGAGAAAGAAATACTATCGAATATCAGGTATGTGCATGAACTTTTATAAAAATCACTTTATTAACCTACCATGAACCTCACAGGCTTTGCCTATAACCAATAAGCTGCTGTGAACATTTGTATACAAGTCTTTGTAGAGACATGTAGACACATGCTTTCTTTCCTTTTGGATAAACTAAAGACTGAAATGATTGGACATTTGTTAAGTATGTTTAACTTTGAAAGGAACTGAAAAATTCTTTGTAAAAATTATTCCTTCCTGTGTTTGAGAAACCAAACACTGTGTCATTTAGTTTAGAGGTGGGAACTAAAGTGTGGAGAGAATTGAGCATGTCTATAAAACTTTCTCACTGTCAAGTATCTCAATTAAATTTCATATTCTAGATATTGGGGTTGTTAATGTTTTTCTCATTTCTAGAGAACAGAAGCTATAATTTCCTTCCACAGTGACTGGAAGTGAATTTTGTTTTGCTCAGACAGCACAACATACAAGTATTTTCTGTTTATTTGTTTAAAAATAAAATCGTTATTCCTAGAACAAGAGAGCAACTTTTGAGGGGGGAGGGAGTCTCCAAGGCAGGGGCTGGGGATTACAAGAGGCCTTTAATCTGGTGTAGCTATAGACCTATATGGAATCAGATGTTTGTCCTATTTCCTTGATATTTTGTATGTGACTGTGATCTTCTGTGTTAGTAGCAGCCATCTTCCTTAGAGGCAAGGAAATGTTGAGGATTATCCATGTTTGCATGTGGGTGAGAGCAAAATGTTCAGGATCTGAATGATGACTGAGCTGAGGCCTGGAGCACTGTGCAGATTGGAACTCTCTCCATGCTCTACACCTGACGTCATGTCTTCTTGTCTCCTTCTTATGTTGGTTACATTCTGACTAGGAGAATATGGAGAATAATGGTGGATGCAAAACTGTCATTTTTAGCTGCATGAGTCAATAGGTTTGACTAATGAACAGTTGAGAGCATTTTGTGAAACATAATCAAGAAAATGTTGGTGCTTCAGATTTTGTGGTGAAAGAGGCAGGAAGTAACAGGAATTGAATACGGGCAGATTTGAATAGCTGTAAAGTGCACACTGTGTGCTTATATGTTCTAGCTAGCACCTCCATGCACCATTTCCTCTAATCAAGGTTCACATTGAGTGTGCCTGAATGGTGTACTCCTTGGTAAAAGAGGATGTCATCATCTAGTGCTTTCCTACTGTCCACACTGCACTGCATTTGCTCCCCTCCCTGTGTCTCTTTCTTACTCATCGCCATTAGTTTTTTTGGCAATCATTTGAGAGCAGGCTGTTCATGTGATGCTCCTTCAC